TTTATTTAAAAAAATTTAAAAAACTTAATTTAAAAAATTAAAAAATGAGCAGAGCTTCTGAGCTGGAAAGCTGAGGTCGTGTTCAGCCCACTGGCTTTTTTCCTGCCCCTTAGGACACCATGAGCTACCCCCAGTCCTGCACACCACCATGCTGAGGGTCCATCCCACCCCAGGGAGTGGGTCTTCTGAGACAAGACCATCAGAGAGCACTCAGGCCTCAGCCCTCTTCTTGGAGGTCAGTGCTGGTAGGACAGAGAGTAGCGGGGAACCCAGCATTGTGGGTGGACAGTCCTTGGACTTCTTCCTCAGGCTGCTGGGAATAACACGGGGGGGGGGGGGCGGGGTTCAACTGGCCTCACACAATTTCTCAAAAGACAAACACTCTTTTGTCATTATTACTGCCAGAAACGTGTTGTAAGTGTCAAAATGATACTGGCTCCCTAAATCACGAAACGTGGGGCATGACTTTCTTTATTCTTCTTCACTATAAAAATTACAAAGTATTCATCAAGTGAAAATTTGAAAATGGAAAAACTATAAAAGCATGCTGTCCTGAGAGAGGGTTGAACAAGCATCACTAGCAAGTAGTTCAAGGTTAGAAGGAACAGCCATGGCCTAGAGCAGGAATTCTCAAATCTGTTTGCTCATCAGAATCACCTTGGAATCCACTCCAGACCCATCAAATTCAAAAACTCTGGAAGGGGATAGCTAAGTTTGTAATGACACTCTCAGTTTCTGGGGGGGTTTGTTTTTGTTTTTTGTTTGTTTGTTTGTTTTACAGTTTTTGGCCAGGGCTGAGTTTGAACCCACTACCTCCGGCAGGTGGGGCTAGGGACCTACTCCTCTGAGCCACAGGGGCCACCCTAAATATCTGTATTTTTTGCTGATACCCCATGAGATGCTGGTCCTCTGGTAGGCTGGGAAAACCACTCTCTGGGCACACTGCTGTTTTCCACTACACACAGACCGTTCACTGTTCCTTCAGTGAAGCCCAGCCCTGTACTAGATGAGGAAGAAAGGCTGGGGGCTCCATGATGGGAGGGGAACCAAGAGTGAGAGCCATTTTGTCCCCAGCTCTTGGGTCTGAGCCGTGAGAAACCCTGGGACCCGGAGCTGAGTCCAGAAGAGGAAACACCAGACTCTTATCCAAGGCTGGGGTCCCAAGACCTGCTGGCAGCCAGCCTCACTGCTGTCCTCCTGGGAGGGTGGATTCTCTTCCTCATGAGGCAGGTGAGGCCTTGGCCTCAGGCCCATCTTGGGGTCTTCTCGGGGGCATTCTGCTGCTCCTTTCTGAGACCTCTCAGCAACTCTCTCCTCCCCCAGCTCTGACTTTGCCCCTGCCTTCTGCTTGGTAGCTCCCAAGCTCCTGCTGTCGTACTCTGTAAGTTCACGTCCCGTGAGAAGTCATCTCAGGCACAGATGCCAAGATGAGCTCCCTTAGGCCCTGGTGTTTCAGCAGCAGCAGGTGGAGAAGCAGCAGCCGATGCCCCTGGCACCAGCAGACCCTCCTCACATCTCCCAGGACACTCCATCCCAGCATTTGGGGGCCACTCTGAGAGGCCAGACGAGGCTTCCAAGTCCCTCAGAGCAAGCTCAGCCACTCACTGACCCCGAAGGTAAGCATGAGTAAACAGGATAGGACAGAGTCAGGGACAGAGAAAAGGGAGGGACAGATTTAACCTCAAAGTCACTGTGTTAGAAACCACTAAAGTGGGGTGGTTAGACCTAAAAGCACTAAGAAGAGTGTTTCAAATAGTGCCTGCTACATAGCTGAGCACTCTACAAGTGTCCACTGTCACTATTTTGTTATTTTCAAAGACTCTGAATGTAGACAGAATCGGATACAGATCTAACTCTCCATTGTTAACTTTGATGTGTTTGCTTAACTCCTCTGAGCTTCGGTTTTCTCATATGGGAATAATAACATTATTTCATCTCATCATGAGAGGTTACCATCACATTATTAAGCCATACATGGGTAATGTTATTAATATTTGTGTTGAAATAATATTATATTTGGTAACAGTAATAGTAAACAACCTCGGTACAATTTTTCCCATTTAGGGCTTTTTACTTTTTAAACATTTCTCTCCTCTTCTCTGATGTAGTCCCATAAAAAAGCCCTTTCAAGCTTCCTGTGGGATCTGTGGGATGCCCCAGGGGCTTTGCACATGCATGTATGATCAGCCCAGGCTGTTTCTCTGGGCTGGGTTCCTGCCTCTGTCCACTTTGTGACCTGGCACCTCCTAGTCACTATTCGGACCACTTCCTCATGCCTTAGCCCCACCCTGCTATCACATTACTCAGGCTAAAGTCCACCTCACACTTGGCTCCACCGCTGTCCCAGTGATTACCTCTGTGTTCATTGTGCCACAGCCAAGAGCGGAACGGCCCCCTTCTTTGGGCAGAGTTGCCTGAGCCCTGAGGTGTTTGCAGTTCTTGTCATTTTACTGGCTCAGGGGGTCCAAGTAACACCCCACTGCACCCCAAAATCTCATCTCCTGGACCTTTGACTCTAGAGCTGAGTCTGTCTTGTCTTGCCCCTGGTAACCTAGACTCCTTTTCCCAGTTGGTTCTTGTCAAAGTCCCTTGTGTACTTTTTTTTAGTAGAAACAGGGTCTTGCTTTTGCTTAGGCTGGTCTTGAACTCCTAAGCACAAGCAATCTACCTGCCTCGGTCTCCCAGACCTCGTGGACTTTTTTATGGTTCACAAAATCTACAGTGGAGTCACGTCCTGTTCTCATTTAACTTAGGTGAATTCGTCTGCACACAGTTGGCTGGGCATCCTTCAGGACTGCTCACTGTGTCACACACTGTGCAGCAGGTGCATGCAATCCAGCCTAAAACTGAGCTAACATTTATATGGCGCTTACTGTGTACCAGGCACTGTTCTGAATGTTTTGCATGTATTAAGGTGTGATACAACTTTCCCAAGAGGTGGATACTGTTTGAATGCCTCTTTTCTGGAAGAGGAAAGAAAGGCAGAAAGGTTTAGTGACACCTCCACAGTCACCCCAGGCTCACAAAGCTAGTAAGTAGCAGCTGAGAGTTTCAAAGGCAGGTGGCTGGCTTTAGGGTATGCTCTTAATCTCTGCGAGATGGTGTCCATGTGTGAATGCTGGCAAATACCTGCGAAAGAATGTGACTGACTTTAAGTGTTCCCCCCAACCCATGTAAAAGCAGCAAAATGCAGAGGTAGGAAGAATGACAGAGGACGCAAAGGAGAGAAACCTGGGCAGAAGATGCTGAAAGGGAGAGAGAGATAAGAGGATAATGTAGCAAACATCACCGCACCCCTTCCTTCCATGCATGCATTGAATCCTCACAGTAACCTGTGCAGGAGTAGTAACCTGGGTGGTGCTGTACAGATGAGAAAACCAAGGGCACAGTGGTTAAGTAACTTGTCTATGTATACATAAAGTGGCAGCACCAGGCATGAACCCAGGCAGTCTGGGACCAAGGAGGACCTTGCTCTCACCGGGCATGCACCCCACTGCACCAGGCTGAGCATGGAAGGGTGGAAGTTGGGAGAACAGTGCAGGTGGCAAAGGCGGGCAGAGACTGCCCAAGACACCACCCTCCTCTCTACCAGCAGAGCCACTCACTGTGGTGGGGAAGATTTCCTTCAACCCCAAGGATGTGCTGGGCCGTGGGGCAAGTGGGACTTTTGTTTTCCGGTGAGTGGCAACCAGGAGCCGGGTCAGGATGTGGTCCTCAGAGCCCTTGTGGCCACTATCCCGGGGAAAGCCTTTCTTTCACAGACTCCCTGAGGTGGATCCAGACCGATGCCTGCTCACCCATTCCTGCTCTTTCTTTTTTCTGCTCTCTGAATGCCCCATCTCCCCTGCCTCTTAGGGGACAGTTTGAGGGGCGGGCAGTGGCTGTCAAGAGGCTCCTCCGAGAATGCTTTGGCCTGGTCCGGCGGGAGGTCCAGCTGCTGCAGGAGTCTGACCGGCACCCCAATGTGCTCCGCTATTTCTGCACGGAGCGGGGCCCCCAGTTCCACTACATAGCCCTGGAGCTCTGCCGGGCCTCCCTGAGGGAGGTGAGTTAGGGGTTCAGGAGTGTCCTGGGGAGGTCCTGGGCTGGAGAGTGATGATATGTCCCTTGCTACTGCTCAGTACGTGGAAAATCCTGATGTAGACCGCGGGGGCCTAGAGCCCAAGATGGTACTGCAGCAGCTGACGTCGGGCCTGGCTCACCTGCACTCCTTACACATAGGTAAGGGCCTCCCACACACACCCTCAACCTCTACCGTCCCCACACCAAGCAGCCAGCTTCCTCTCTGCTCCCCTCCCACAGTGCACCGGGATCTGAAGCCAGGCAACATTCTTATCGCTGGGCCTGACAGCTGGGGCCAAGGCAGGGTGGTCCTCTCAGACTTTGGCCTCTGCAAGAAGCTGCCTGCTGGCCGCTGCAGCTTCAGCCTCCACTCTGGCATCCCAGGCACAGAAGGCTGGATGGCGCCTGAGCTCCTGAAGCTCCGGCCATCAGACAGCCCGGTGAGTGTTCCCATCAAGACAGCCAGACACACCACTGGGCCACAAGGATTCCTCCCTGCCCCAGGCCGCAAGGATTCCTCCCTGCCCCAGTTCTCCTTCTGCCGAGGCTCCATGTCACTCACTCTGTGACCCTGACTACCGCTCTGAGCTTGTTTTCTCATCTGTAAATAGGGACAAATAATTTGTCCTTTCTTACCTAGAGCAATGAGTAGACAGGATCTACTTTGCCACTCACAGGACATTAGACAACATCTTGAGAAGTTTTTGGTTGTCCTAACTTGGGAGGAAAGTGCTACTAACATCTGGTGGGTGGTGGTCAGGGTGCTGCTGAACGCCTCACGGTGCATAGGACAGGCCCCAACAATTCATAAAATGTCAGTAGTGTAGAGGTTGGCAAACCACAAGCTAGAAAATGGTCTTCAGTCCTCACTATGCTTCACAATCACTGGGAAAGAGGCCCCACACCCAGTAGTTCTGACCTAATTAGCCAGGTGATTTTAATGTGGAGTCATGTTCAACAACTACAGATCTCAAGGGCTTGGGGAGGATCAGATAAACTAAAATAGTTGAAGCACAGATCAGTGTGAGACCCACAAAGACATTTGAGTCTAGATCCCAGGATTATTTTTGAGTCACAGTGTGTGGGTAAAAGCAGAAATTATGGAAAAATTTGACAGTAACACAAAAGGACAGTCACTAGGCAAAGCCACCCCACTCCTAAAGCATAAAAGTAGAAGCCGTGACCTGGGGCCTAAGGACTAAATGCACTGATGTCATGAGCATACTTGGTTTGGTTTTTTAAATTAGTGGCTAAAATTTTATCATTTGGGACATTCCATATGAAAATCTGGATTTCTGGATTCTCTTTAAAAATTAGCTTTGCCCCCACTGCAGCATCCTCTAGTGAGAAGCAGCTAGAGCTAAGGACCAGCAGCCCTGTAGATAGGGCCAGGTCACCACAGCCCTCACTATCACCTCCTTGCACCTCCTGGCAACTTTACCCTGTTATGTTTGTTACCTGCCTACACCCCGCAAGAACGAAGCTTGGAAACCCAAGTTAGAAGCTCAGCCGGGGCAAAGCTCTGGGGTGAAACCCTTGGTCCCCTTCAATGGTAAATAGGGGTGAGGATCTACAGTAGGGAGATGCTGCCAAGGAAGCATCTTAAGCCAAACTCTGGCTGCTGTATCAGTCCACAAGATGATTTAGCCAGCTCTGCTTCCTAGAGACAGATCTTCTCACATCCACCTTTCTCCCAGACCTGCGCAGTGGACATCTTCTCTGCAGGCTGCGTATTCTACTATGTGCTTTCCAGTGGCAGCCACCCCTTTGGAGAGAGTCTTTACCGCCAGGCAAACATCCTCGCAGGGGCTGCCTGTCTGGTTCACCTGGAGGAAGAGGCCCATGGTGAGATCTGGCCCAGCAGAGAAGGGGGGAATGAGGGTGTGAGGCTGGGTTGGCCTGAAGCCAGCCCTCCTCTCCCACTCTCCAGATAAGGTCATTGCCCGGGACCTGGTTGAAGCCATGCTGAACCCACGGCCACAGGCTCGGCCCTCTGCCCAGCAGATGCTGGCCCACCCCTTCTTTTGGAGCAGAGCCAAGCAACTCCAGTTCTTCCAGGTCAGAGGAAAATCTTGGGACTGGCCTCCAGAAGTAGCAAGTTTAGGTACTGGGAGCCTGGTTCCTTATCTAAACCAGGAAAAATCTTGGTCTTAAACTCTGCCATCTTGGCACTCTCTGGGCCACTGTTGCTAGCTTTGCCAGCACCCCGCACCCCGTCCCTTGTACAGGAATATACTCATTCCTTTCTGAGTTGTCACTCGTGCTGTGCCCATGCTGATAGCCTATTCCACTGTGTGACCTTGAGCAAGTAACTTTCTGCCTCTGAGCCTGGTTTTTCATCTGTAGAATTGGGACAGCAATACCTACCTCACCAGAAGTTGATGATACATTATCTGTAACATGGATGTTGGTGGCAAATACCTGTAACATAGAGGCATGGCACCAAGAAGCCCCACTCTCCAAAAGGCAAAGAGCCTTATCATCCTAAACCACTCCCCAAAGCCACATCGCATGCCTGGCCTTATGGCCCCAGTATTGGTCACAAGGCTCAGGAGGTCTGTGGGATTCTAGGACGTCAGTGACTGGCTGGAGAAGGAGTCTGAGCAGGCGCCCCTCGTGAGGGCGCTAGAGGCAGGAGGCTATGCAGTAGTCCAGAACAACTGGCACAAGCACATCTCCGTTCCACTGCAGACAGGTAGAGGCCACACTCAGGTGGACCTGGGAGGCTGAGGGGAGCTCAGTGGGAACAGGTTTGCCACTGATTTTCCTGCCTACAGAACTGAGGCGGTTCCGGTCATATAAGGGGACATCAGTGCGAGACCTGCTTCGTGCTATGAGAAACAAGGTGTGTTCTGGGGCCTGGGTGGGGTCTGGATCTTGACAAGGCCTGTCCACAGCTGAGCCAGGCTCTCTGTTCTTCCCCCACTACCCAGAAGCACCACTACAGGGAGCTCCCAGCTGACGTGCAGCAGGTGCTGGGCCAAGTCCCTGATAGCTTCGTCCAGTACTTCACAAACCGCTTCCCACGGCTGTTGCTCCACACACACCACGCTATGAGGAGCTGTGCCTCGGAGAGCCTCTTCCTGCCCTACTATCCGCCAGCCTCAGAGGCCAGCAAGTCTTGCCCAGGAGATGCTGGGAGCTGAGGTGGGCCAGGGGCCAGAGGCAGCCTCTATGCAGGCCAGCCAATGAGTCGGGCCCATGGCTGAGGCTGGCTTTAGCATCAGAAAAGACTGGAAGAGGCCTGGCAGCTGAGCTACTGGAACAGAGATATATACCTAGACCCCAGGCCCCAGGCTGACCCCCTCAGAGAATACAAGAGGAAAGAAAAGATTCACATATGTTTAATGTATATAAAGCAAAGGAAAGGACAGTCCCAAATTCAATAGAAATATTCTGTACAATTCATATGGTGGGGTTGAGGGAGAAGGGAAAGAACCCACACCCGAACCTGTACAAAAATAACTTATACACAGCAACCCCCACCTGCAAGGATGATGAAGCTCTTTGCCCAGCCCCCAGGGCTGGGGGACACATTACAAAAACAGCACTGTGGGCGCTGACCAGTGCAGGCCCCAGTACTAACAGGAGTGGAGAGGGGCACGAGTCCAGGGTGCCTATGAAGAGGCCTTGAGGCGGTTGTTAGCTGAGCGTGAGCTCAGCAGCTTGTCCACCATGGTGCGAGCATAGCGCAGCCGGCTGGCCAGCTCCTTGCAGCAGCCATACTCCTCAAGGAGGCTCAGGCGGTATGTGCGGAAGTCACGTTTCTCATCGATGTATGTTACAGCTGCCATCAGTGGGCACAGGATGAGTTTCGTATGGTCCTGTAAGGGATGGAGGGAGGGGAATAAAGTCTCCCAACTCCAGTCCTTCCTACTGTCTGCTGCCGCAGATAGGTACCCACACCTCCTGCCCCCTGGTCACCTCCAGCTCACCTGGAAGAAGTTGATCTGCACACTGCCATTACTGAGGTGCAGGATGATGGCACTGCGGGTGCGGAACCAGGTACGCAGGTAGGGCAGCCGGGCTAGCTCATCACCTTCCCGTGGCGTGATGTTGGCACCCGCCTTCAACAAGTGTTCGCTCATGTAATTCCGGAAATACTTAAGGAGAGTGATCTGGTTGAAAGGGAGGTATTTTAGAATTAGAGTCTGACCCATGGCATAATCCCTACACCCAACAACACCATACCCTATGGAACAACTAGGACTTACCTTCTTCAACAAAGAGTTGGGATGGGAACTCACAGTGAGGTAAGACTCAGCACCATCACGTTCTATGTACTGCAAGCTGTCACCATCATTGTAGAGGATAAGGCGTGTCGAGTCATTGAAGAGCACCCCCACACTGTTGTCACACAGCTGGTACCCTAGGAGTGGGTGGAGGGAAACTTCAGACAGGGAGAGTAGGAAGTGGGGAGGCACTGGGATGGAGACAGGAGAGTGCCGAGAAGAGACAACCTGGGAGCCAAAAAAGGCAAGCCTGTAATAACTGAAGAGTCACTTGGCCACACCCAGGCTACCCATCCTTTCTGGAAGAAACCTACCGAGGCCATACTTGTCCGAATAGTCCACCCACTTGCTGACCCAGAAGATGGGGATGCAGGCAGGATCCTCAGCCTCCTCTGAGACAGAAACAAACAGACAAGTCGTCAGGTCCAGCCTCTTCCCCTCTGGCCCACTCCAGGGGTGCCTACTGGGCACCCTACCTTAGGCTTAGCCAAGAGGTCCAAGACTCCAGAAAAGAGCAAAGCAAGGTCTCTGCCGACAGGCTCAGAGAAGCAGCAGCACAGACATTACAGCACTGTGCACCAAGTTCCACTCATTCCTTCATTCAGTTGACCCATTTATTGAAGGCCTACTGTGTGCTCAGCATTGTTGAAGGTACAGGGGATAAGAGACAAAAATCCCAGCCTTCACAGAGCTTATGTTGAAGTTTTGGGGACAAAGACTTACCAAAATAAGTATAGACAAGATATGAAACTCACTGCTGTCATGGTAAGAGTCAGCAGCTGATATCTAGTTTTCCAGTTTGGAGTGATTAAGAAACTGTAAAAAGGGTGGCACCTGTGGTTCAGTGAGTAGGGAACCAGCCCCATATACTGAGGGTGGTGGGTTTGAACCAGGCCCCAGCCAAATTGCAACAAAAAAAAAATAGCTGGGTGTTGTGGTGGGCACCTGTAGTCCCAGCTACTCAGGAGGCTGAGGCAAGAGAATTGCCTAAGCCCAAGAGCTGGAGGTCTGTGAGCTGTGATACCACAGCACTCTACCAAGGGTGACAAAGTGAGACTCTGTCTCTAAAAAAAAAAAAAGAGAGAAAGAAAGAAAAAAACTGTAAGTAGACAATTCCAAATACACCAAAATTGTCATGTTCAGTACATGTAACAAATCTCTTATTTTAGATATGATGAGCAAAGGAGATGCTGAGCCGTGCTGGGTGAAAAGTGTTATGGAGAACTATGGAGCAGGTGAGGGGAATAAGAAGTACCAGTAGAGGGGGCCGGCAAGATGCTCCTAGAGATGACAAGGGAGCAGACATTTGAAGGAGGCGAGAGTGTGAGCCATGCAAAGGTCTACAGGAAGTGCATTCCAGGGGAGGGAGCAGAAGGGGCAAAAGTCCTGAAGCTGGAGCACATTTGGGTCTGCTGTTTCAACAGTCTTGAAGGACCAATAGGAATTTACTGAGCAGAAGAAGCAGTGTCTGCAAATGTATGAAGGTGGCACATTGAGGTGCTAAAGAAAGAAGAGATAGATCAGAAAAGTAAGGCAGGAGCCAAGCCTTGGATGCCAGACTAACTCATATGGATTTTGATTTATAGGAAATGGGGGAACCAAAGGTATTATGGAATCAGAGCCTAGACAAGTCCTCAACTCTCTATTGGCTGAGATTTCTCTTCCTTCTCCAGATGCCCCAGGCAAACCTCCCCTGCCTACACCCCAACAGCACCTACCTTGCCTCACCAGCCCTCGCTCAGAGGGTTTGGAAGCATTGACACTGTGTAGCTGCTGTAGCAAGTCACTGAGGTGGCAGTCGACCACCTCACCTGTTTCTCGAACCACTGGTTCCTCTTTCTCCCGGGGTCGCTCAGGCAGGGGGTTCTCCATCCCTAGGAAGGTGACAAAATCATTAGCGAGGCACAAAAACAGGGCTAGAGAAGAGCACAGCACTCCTTGCCAGAGAAAAACTCAGCTACCACTGCTTTTGGGAAACTGAGTCAGTACAGACTTATTAGAGGAGCAGCTGCCATGCTCATGTGACAGGTGCATGGTTCAGACTGTGAGGCCACAGAGCTTCATACACTTAAGCCTCTGACCTGAGGCCCTGGCCCTACAGGATACAACCGGCCACTCAGGGAAGAGCTTAAAGCCACTAGCAGCTCAGAGACGCCCAGCTTTAAGCAAAGAATTAAAAGAATCTTTAGCATTGAGAAAATGGAGAGGAAAGAGTAATCACAGCTCATCAACGGGATGAATTTAGTAGGCATTTAAATGAAAACCTAAGAGAGATTTTTCTTCCCTAAAATTTGCTTTACATGCTTACATGTAACCAAAGCGAGTCTGAAAAGATATATGATAAAATTCTAACATTGGTTGCCTCTGGGCAGTAGATGAATAGATACCTTTTATTGTTTTCTCTACTTTCTTTTTTTTTTTTTTGTAGGGGGGGGTTTGCAGTTTTTGGCTGAGGCCAGGTTTGAACCCACCACCTCCAGCATATGAGGCCAGCACCCTACTCCCTGAGCCACAGGTGCCACCCACCTTTTATTGTTTTCATGGTTAAATGTTTAATTTTTTCCCTTACCAACATGTGTTAATTCCCCTTATATAATATGAAATATTTCTTAAAATAAGTTTTCAGTTCAAAAAGACTATGTGAAATAATAAGGTATTAAGAATTTGCTTAAAAAACTCTAGCAGAAGTAGAGAGAGTTGGAATGGATAAAATATGTCTCACCAAATGTTCATTATTATTGAAAATAGATAATATATATGGATTCATCATATAGTTCTACTTTGGGGCAAGTCTGAAAATTCCCATAGTAAGTTTTTTTTTTTTAGAGACAGAGTCTCACTTTGTTGCCATCAGTAGAGTGCCATAGGGTCACAGCTCATGGCAACCTCTAACACCTGGGCTTAAGCAATTCTCTTGCCTCAGCTTCCCGAGTAGCTGGGACTACAGGGGCCTAGCCACAACGCCCAGCTATTTTTTTGTTGCTGTTTGGCCGGGACAGGTTCGAACCTGCCACCCTCAGTATATGGGGCCGGCGCCCTACCTACTGAGCCACAGGCGCCACCCCCATAAGTTTTTAAAATACTGTATATTCAAAGATTAAAACCAAAAGAAAAGAAAGTGATCCTTAAAATAACAGTATTACATGATAGCTCAAAGAATAAAATATCCACGAATCCATCACTACATAAATAAATAAATGGGACAGAAAGGATAACTCTTCCTTACAGAAGAATTCCAATTAGTAAATGCAAATGAGTGAGGAAAAGAGAAAATCTACCGCTAGAACACCACTATAATAACTGCTATAAGGCCCACCCACAGATGCTGAAATTAGTGGGCAATAGTTTGAGAAGAAATTAAGACAGCATCAAAGTAGTTCCCCACAAGATATTTACTATTTACAGACAGAAAAATAACAACTCTGCAGAGGAGAAATCTAGCATATGTCACCTTAAACAAGTGATTGAGATTATTATCATCAATAAAAAGGAAAACACGGCTCGGCGCCTATAGCTCAACCAGCTAAGGCGCCAGCCACGTACACCTAAGGTGGCGGGTTCGAATCCCCAGCCCGGACCCGCCAAACAACAATGACGGCTGCAACCAAAAAATAGCCGGGCGCTGTGGCGGGCGCCTGTGGTCCCAGCTACTTGGGAGGCAGAGGCAGGAGACTCGCTTGAGCCCAGGAGTTGGAGGTTGCTGTGAGCTGTAATGCCACGGCACTCTACCCAGGGGGACAGCTTGAGGCTCTGTCTCAAAAAAAAAAAAAAAAAAAAAGGAAAACACGTACCCTGATGTGATGCAGAGACAGGCACAACACTGCTGTTATTCTTGTCGAAAATGCCTAATTTTACTGTAATCATGAGTAAACACCAAAAGACATTCTAGAAATTGACTTCCCAGTGCTCTTCAA